CCGGGCCTCGAACCCAGAACCTCTGGCGCTTAACGAAATGCTTAGCAATATGTTTAAGCATTTAGCTGATTTTAGTCAATAATCTTTAATTTTGTCAGTTTGCTTTATTATTAAAATCTCAATTCACTTCAAATACGCGTCCTGCATACCAACAAATTATTATCAACTAGCTGGCCTGACAAGCATTATTTTGCAATATGAAATATTTCGACGGTTTGACGTGTGAAAGAATAATTATTTTATACACATTTCAACGGAAATTTGCAAAACGGGTAAATCATATCCCCGTTGTAATAATCTCCTCAGCTTTATAACATTAGTATAGATATCATAATAGCAAAGATATTATTAAGGTATTTGAATTATGCGCTAAGGCATTTCGGCGTCGCTGTAGTCGGCTGGCATTCAGAATCCGCTGACAGTTTGCGATGGACCCTGACATTTTGTAGATAGCATCAAAGGAGATTGCGTCTACATTTTATTCTTATTAGTTTATCTTCGTTCTTGTGAATTTTATTTGCATTCCCGATATCAACTGACTCACCTTCGGTGCATGTATTGAGCAAAGAGTGATCTGGTTTTTAAATTCATTCTTTATACCCTAAAATCTAAATGATACTTTGACATGAAGTATGATTGTCTGTAGTTTACGCGAGTGAAATTTACAGTTAGTTTACTTTTAATAAAACGGTACTTTAAACGCGGAATAGGTATATTAGTTAACTTCTTTACAATTTCAGTCCTCTCCTGAAACGTCGGGCTTAGTTTAAATAATAATATATTCCCATTTTACCGTTAAAAGTGTTTTATTTAAATGTGTACTACTCGTGCAAACTACAGACAATAAAACTAATTTAAATTATTTTTGTCAGTCTTAATGATGACGATAAAGTTTACTGACAGACTTTATCGTCATCAAAATTACTAAATCGGGCGGTGATAAAGACAGAAATGCCTTCAATCTGACTGGTTGAAGAACCATTAAGAGTAAGGAACTCTTACGAAAACACTTATGTTTCTATGATTCACACCTGCGTATGCAATAAATTTAAAGTAATATGATGTCACAGTTTGACATTCTGTTGAAGAACGTGATGATAGAGCGAATATATAATATAATAAACACCACGTGCTAAATTGGGCATCAGTTTTAAACATCAAAACACATTAGTGCATATTATGTAATTTAATCTTGTGACAGATAAAATTGCGGTGTTTGTTTACAAACTCTATATTTCGATTAACATAACCTATATCAAGGATATCATGGTACGCTGTATTAGAAAACAAAAAGGTTTTAAAATTTTTGTCTGTTGTGTTTACAGTGAAAAGGAATGAACGATATTTTTTAATTTCAGGAAACTACGTTCTGAGAGCGAAACGCAAAAACGAAAATCATCCTTTGACAAGAGTTATTGGAACGGTATGTACCTAACTTTTTGCTACTGGTATTAACTATCTATCTTTTAAACTTCCATTCCATTAGGAATTAAAAGAAATATTGGAAGAAAAATAAAAATACATACATACTATAAGATACTTTTTTAAACATTTATTTTCTACAAATGGCACTGGTCTTTTGTTTTTTAATCATTTATATATATATATATTGTCAGATGAAAAAGATCTATTAAAACTTACACAAACTAATTTTGTAAGTAAAAACACTGTGAAAATATTAAATTTTTTTCACGTGATTGCACATGATTGCGCTATATTCAATAAATCTATTTCAATGTTTCGTGCTAAACTTTTATGAATAAATCTCAATTGAGCTGAAACGATAGTCCAATTGGTTACAGCAGCAGCACAAAACGCTGTGAATGCAAGTTCAAGCTCCTGTCGTGCAATTTTTTTTCAATCTGAATAGATTTTAAGAATGGATCGAATTTTCTATTTAACTATAAAATTATACCTTTCATTATGATCTTAGTACTAGATATTCAATCATCACTAAATTTTAAAACGAATTATAAATATCAAATGATGGTTAATCGTTTGTTAAGTTATCAGTTCGCCATCTTTTTGTTCGAAAGGGCACCTTGCAACGTTAGCTTCGGAGCACCTGTTCTTACACATGCTGTGACCTTTTTCTTTGACTTCCTTCCAATATAAAGAATACTATTTATTCTTTTTATTTCCTCTTCCGTAGGGGTGAATGATTACTTAGGACTTTAACGGATTAATTTATAATTCAATGAATTAACGAATAATGCAATCCATTAATAAGTAATGTAAGATTCAAGGAGTATTGTATTATTTAAATACAATTAAACGTACGTGGTTTAAACCTTCTTACTCCGCGATTAGTTTAAAATAATTTGAAAATGACTATCGGTATAGATTGCGTAAACACTTATTCGAAAACTTATTATTATTTATAATCGTCGTTTAAATAAGTTACCCAATATATTTCGCGTTTAAAACCGTTGAATAGGTTTTTTTAAGAATTACGTTCTATAGTCGCGGTTTAAAATAAGGTTACTAGCTCATATATTTCGCGTTTTAAACCGTTAAAAGTGGTTTGCTTATTAACTTAATGTTAAAACTCACTGTATATAGTTTACGTTTAGTAGTACACATTTAAATTAAACACTTTAACGGTGTAAAACGCGATATATATTAGTTAAACTTATTTGCAACGTCGGGCCGAAGTTAAATAATTTTTAAATAAGTTTATCTAATATATATCGCGTTTTAAACCGTTAAAGCGTTTTATTTAAACTTAAAGTTACTTTTAAGTGTACCCAAATATAAATTACTTATGAAAGATATAAGCGTTTGAACTGTTAAATGTGTTTTCTTTTCAATCGGTTAGTGATTGTTCAATAATGTATTGTAAAACTCTCCGTACAAAGTATCTTGAAGGGAGGCGAGCTAAATTCCTGTTACGAGCAATAATGTTTCCACCGCGACCTACGAAACTTATTGCGGGGCATTTTGCATGCCGTAACTGCAATTTCCAATTGACATTTCATGATTGAAAGTGATTGGATTCTTTCACTTTCATCTGTCTGGGCTACAAACAATGAGCTATTTCATTCTTCGGTATACCTTGAATAAACTAAAATCCAGTTTTCTCATAGAACAAGAGGTAAACACATTTTTGTGTCGGTTTTTTTACTAAATTCTTCTGATCCTATCACGTTTCAAAAGGTTCAACTAATAATCCGTCAATTCACAGATGAAAAGCCGTGAATTTTAATCGCTGTGTGCGGATCTCCGAATACCCAAAGCTGAAATAGATCGATAGCGTATTTTGTTTAGATGGCTGGATATAGGCTGGAGATCTGGTGTCCTTTATCATTAAATCAAAAAAATATTTACCGGTCCTGTCCGAATTAATAGAAAAATGGTTTTCCTTGCTTAACGAGATATCTTGGGTACTTTATAATATTCTTTGAAGCCTACCGAATTTAACCTTAATTTAAAAAATAAGGTCCATAATTGAAAAGCTGCGTGCGAAATTTTCTAATTTGAAAATTCTATAATAAAATAAAGCCAAATAAACTACAAATACATATTTAATTTAAAAATATAAAAATCTCTCGTGAAATAAAAAAAAATGTGCTCTATAAAACTAGCAATATAGGACTAGAACACATTTTATAAGGCTTTCGCGGCCATTTTGCAAAGCTATTCGGTCTTCAAGCTTTGCGACCGTCGTAATTGAAAACCAGTGTTCATAAAAATAGTTATATTTAAGTATTGTCTATAGTTACCACGAGTAGTACACATTTAAATAAACATTTTAACAGTTTAAAATGTAAAATATTGGTTATATTTAATGTGTGATATCATCGTGTAGTCACGAGTTCACAACTGCTGCAAAGCAACAGAAACGTTGGGTCGTAGTTAACTTAAATATTTTTCACGTTTTAAACCATAAAATTACTTAATTAAAATAGTTATTGTTTGTATTTATTTTTTCACGGGGCAGTGCAATGGATCTGAAATGTGGCGCCATAGTTAACTTATAAATGTTTCACGTATTAAACTGTTAAAGTGTCTTATTTACATAGTTATAATTGTTTGTTTCACTATGGCAGGTAGGCTAGGACGACCTTTAAAATCGGTTACGTGTTTTATCTTAAAAATATTATGTAAGACGTGTCTTTGGAGAAAGTTAATTTAGTTTGAAAGTGAAATCGATGGAACTTTCTTTTACTTATCCATTTCATAGTCTCGTTCTTCTTGGTCTATTATTTAAATAATCGATGAAGCTGATGATTATATTATTCAATATTCGAGACGAGTGATCTTTTGCTTTTCGCGACGTTGACGTAAAGGTCAGTAATTAATATACAGTATCAATCGACGGAATGAATAAACAATATTTCTTCGATAGAACTTTTCGAATAGACTGTTTGTTGCGTTTTCACTTTTCATTTTACTTTTATACATTTGTGAGCTTGGAAGGAATATCGTTATGTCTAAGTTTATATTTATGATTCATGGTCGGAATCGAACCCAACGCGATTTGAATTTTACCTGTACATTGCCACCACTAACGAGCCAGTCGAACCTCCATTCAGAATTAAAGAAAACAAATTCCCACGCGTAGAACGCGAACATTATTATAAATAACTTATACTTTGACTTAAATAGGATGATCAATTTGACAGGTCACGACTTTGGTGTTGCATTATCGTACGTTAATATAAATAATATCATATTATATTGGTGAATTCCGCCTACTCAGTATGTTGTTTGTTATTGTAGTAGTGAATTTAAGAACAATTATAACCAACTGTTTGTACTTATATTCGGGAAGGAAAATCAAAATATAGTTAAATATTTACCAAAAAACATTGATCTATGCTAATATTACAAAACTGAAGAGTTTGTTTAAGGGTTTCCGTTAGGTACGCTGCGAACGATTCATTCGTTTTATATAGCAATCGATAGATTTAAAATGGTGATACCAAAATTTCTTATCATCCTACATCAGTCGAGGTACGGCGAGAAGTATTTAATGGAGAGAGGGGAATGTTAAAAAAATGTGCAAACAAGTCGGCGAACACGTCAGAGCGGTTCAGATTGCGAGGGAGGAGCCGGGCCTGCCTCCAGCGACATTCCGCGACCGGGCCGACGTCATCTCTGCATTCTCGCGAGCCTTGCTCGTATGCCGAGGAATCAAATGAAAGCTTGCCAAATTCATTTTAATGGACAAACAACTCACCTCCAGTTCCGTGCCAACTTATAAACGAGGCTTTTTATTGCATTCGTATGCAATAGACGCGATTAACTCGGGTCACTCTTTGATTGTGTAACTGTTATATGATAGTACTTGCCTACCGAAAATTTCGTAATCGCTTCGTTATATGATCGGTTGTGTCCAAAAAGAAATAGGTCATCTATACTAATATTATAGGGCTGAAGAGTTTGTATGTTTGAACACGCTAATGTATGTAACTACTGGTTCGATTAAAAAAAAATGTTTTTGTGTTGGATAGACCATTTATCGAGGAAGGCTTTAGGCTATACATATAACATTACGCTATAAAAATGTAAAAAACGGGGAAAATAATTTATCTCTGTGGGTTTCCGACGCGTAGGCGGCGCAAACACGACGGTATTTGTCTACCTTTTTAGATTAACTCGCAAGAACTGTTTTTATGACAATCAAATTTGGTTAAAATTTTGCATTATTGCCAATTATTTGTTAGATAGAATATTTAACACGTTCGAAGGATATCGTTGCGAGCCCTATTATAATTTAAGTTGTAACTAACGAAAGTAACGGAGCGAAGCGTTATGTGTATAAAAGCTCGAGAAGTATAAAAAGTATAAACGGAAGTAGAGCATAGCGCAGGGCGTCGCGACCCTGACATCTGTGGTGCGCGGGCGCCGTCTGCTCCGCGCTCGGTCGCCGCCCTCGGACGCCTCCCTCTAAAAATAGCGAAAGATTTACCGATCGTCGCTTAGGTCCACTTAAAGCATCGATAGAACAAAGCCGGCTTGACCGGTGAATGAAATACACGTTTTGGGTGATTTTGTGTTAGCCTAAACTTAGCTCGAAAAGGAATACTTTAGTCTTCGACGTACGTTCCAATAGGAGTGGGACCGGCGAAAGATTATTGCAAAAGCGAGGCATGCTGAGGGGAGCGAGGTCCTGCGAGTCGTGGTCGCGCGGAGGGCGCGGGGAGTCGCGTGCGCAGCTCGCCGTCCGTCCCTGGTCCGGAGCAACGGCCCCGTCAAGGGCGGCGACGCTGCAAAATTCTGCAAGTCCGCGGCGACTTAGTGCATCGCGTTCGGCCACGGCGGTACCGCGTATGATTGAGCCTCTGTGGGCGCAGCGCACGCGCAGCCCTATGTTAAATAACAGTTATTTCGGACTGAAATGGAAGTGTTCCGCATTCCATGCTTGATCTTCCGCGCCTGACTGTGCATCGGGTCGCCCGCCGCGATCTTTTTTTCGTTCGCTATTGTTTTGTTTCGTTTTTCTCAAAGCGATGAAAGTAAATGTTTCGTGAATGAACGTGAACCAAAAACTGGTTTTTAAACGAAAGTGCAGTGTTATGAATTGATGCAAATTACTTTTTATTCAGGATATTATAAAAGATTATACAATGTTGGATACGAGGAGACTGCCGAGGCGTTCTATGTCTTTACTTGGTTGGTACAGGTTTTGCATACATTCAATTTCACTCTGTGCTGAATATGATCACAACGTTTTTCCGCTAATTTTTTTTCATAGAAAAAATGAGTCGTCTGTTATTAATGCGAGTAACATTATATCATTTAAATTAAACTAAAAACTTTTAACAATTTAATACTCGAAATATATTAGTTAACTTATTTACAATTAAGCTTTGCAGTTTCAGTGCTCTGCAGCAAAGCTCCGAAAACGTTAAAATCATAAATATTTCACGTTTTAAACCGTTCAAAGTGCTGAATAAGATATGACAAAAGATCCTCATAAAAGCTTGTTACACTTATCCGACTTTTTTACTTTTGAAAATTTTAATATTTTTACATGCACATGATGGCATCGACTCGGTAGCTCAATTGGTTAGAGCAGCCTGAAACGCTGTGGATGCCGGTTCAAGACCCAAGTTTATCGACCATTTTTTTATCGACTTTTAATTTATACAGATAATACTTTTTACGATGTCACAACAAATCTAATAGTTATTTACCTATTTAATTCATATGAGAACTGATAATGCTTTAAAGAGGATTACTTAAGATTTTTTCGTAAGGTCGAGCTAAAACTATAGCTGACGACAAACTGGATTTACATCTAGGTATTACGTATATACCAGGTAATTTATATTAGCGATATCAATATGTATATTTCCGTTCGTGTATTGATAATAATTTGAACCATATAATGCAGTTTTCACGATTTAAATTTTTACGATGTATCCGGCTATAAAAAAGAAAACTGAAGTGTTTCATAAAGACCTCGGTATTTATTCTATGTAAACTATGAACGTCACGTACACTATAGTAAATACTCTATTGAGGTAAATTTATTGGAAAATTGCAACTGTTCAAATTAATTCAATGTCTCTTAAATTTGTTAATACAAGGTAGCGCTGATTAATTTGATAAAACAAAGATTTTACAGTTGTGCAAATAATACAAAGTGTGCCACATCGGGGCGAAATCGTACAGTTTGTGGTAACTTCTAAAAGAAATAGCACTACGAAAAATTTATTTTTACAAGTGACATATATAAATGTTCACCCAACGGTTGCTAGTGTTAGATTCGTCGACTTACACCGTTGTAAAAATTCGACATTCAAGATGTTTACATCCAATTCAAGAAGAAGGTACCTATCTAATTGTACTAACTCAATTCACATCTATTAATAGGTGTACTTACGAATGCTTTGTCGTAATTTGATTTTAAAACATCAATTAGTATCTGCCTAGAATTTCCCATATGTAATATGGAGTGTTTTATTTGTGGCTGCACTTAGTAATTTTGTGTGTTATGTTTTAGCGTGAAGTTGTATGTAGTTTACACGGTACACGTAAAATAATATTACTTTGACTAGTTTTAAACGCGATATATTTTAGTCAACTTAGCATCAGGCAGTCGTCGTTTTAAGAGGGCTGATTAGCGTTACTCAACTATGAATAATGATATTCATCAGGTGATAATAAATAAGAGAAATATTGATGAAGTTAATGACACACCGCAGTGAATAAGCGCGTTGGTCAACTGTAATGTAATAATGAATCATGTTGTCTTAACATTTCCGATATTGACACAAATAACGTAAATATTTCAAGTCAAGGACTATAATTGATGATTGGCTTCAAAAGGTCGATAACTATTACCAATATTTTTTCAAGTTTCAACTACATAGCCAAATGTGTTTCCTTGTATCGCTCTGTGGCATGTTTATAGCCTTATAGCTTTGTCTTTATGAGAACCGGTAGAACTACTTTTCGATTTTATTTATTAAAATTCAAGTTTATTGGTTTTGAACATGATATTTTTTATTGCAACGAGAACGATATTTATTTTCGCACATCATCGATATCTTGTTTTAAGGACATCTTATGTCTCATAATGAATATGTATGACATTGCTTAACAATTTATTTCTGTCTTTCCAGACCGTTTGAACAGAAGCGATGCAGAGGACAAGAGCCTATCAAATGACGAAACACCGGTCCCGACGTGTCCGCGACAACCACCGGATGGCGTCGAAACGCCTTCAGATGCTGTGGAAAAGATACCAGATTTGCCCACCAGATTACCTCCACGCCTGCCCCCGAGCTGGCCGAGCGCTCGGCCAAGATTTTCCTATACATCTAGAACACAAGATGCGAGGAGTGAGGCTAGTGTTAAAGATAAAATAGCTATGTTTTCGACCGACCTCGCTGTGTCTTCTGACCGCCTAGATAAATGTGGTGCCCTTCCAATGAGGAGTCACTCAACAATTAGAAAAAGTGTTACACCTTCTGTTAAACACTACGCAGACATATCTTCGCTAGACAGACGATTAACAAAATCGCAAGATAATCTCGATGAAACTCCCAGATCATACAAGAGACACACAGAGCGACCTGAAGTGTTGGGAGGCGTTGAAAACACAAGGTTGGAAATAAAACCGATGAAGTTGATCGCTCAGAAAGATGTTTTGTCGCAGCCACTCTTTTATGGCAGTTCGACAACATTGGCCACCGAAACAACATATACGAGACCTATATTTCACGGTCGTAGTGTTAGCGAGGATAACACTAAAAATTCATCCTCACACAAGTCTAATTTAGAATACTTAATAGAGCAACGAAAGAAGTCCATGTCAAAATTACGCGGCTTAGTTATACCCGAAATGCAAGCCCCGATTGTTGACTTACCAGAAATTAAGGTTAAAGATAATATATCGAAAACATTCTTGCAAAAATCCGCGAAACCAGAAATCAAGAGTGAAAGTAAAATGAACAATACTAAGCCGTTAACTTTCAACGACAGTAAGTGGAAAACGAATTTCTTGCCGAACAATCTTCCAAAATATTCACCTGCTTTTAAACGGAAGTCGTTACAAGTATACACACCGTCGTGTTTATCAAAAGAATCAACACCGGAACGTAAATTTGCAGAAAAGGTTGAAACTATAAATAAAATCAACAATATGCATAGTTTACACAAACCTCTTAAGTCTACTTCAGATTTTACTAGGACACCTGTTATTAATACTTCGCCTGCGTATAAGCAATATAATAAAAATAGTTTTAGTCATATACATGACTTTAGAAACGTTGAAGTAAAAATTTGTACAACAACTGAGGTGGTTGACAGCGATAACGATTCCGCGATGAGTTCCACTCAGTCCAGCTATCGATCATCAGCATCGTCTCCGATGCATCATTTGGACCATATTGAATCGGACAGTTCCCGCATGTCACCAAGGATACCACAGTACGGTGCATATTTGAATACTAAATCGGACTTTTTAGTAAAACCCATCCTTATCGACAAAAATGGCGACGAATTTATAAAACGCAAAATTTGTCGATCTGTCTCGTCTGAAACGAACGTTTCTCTAAGTTCTTCGGCCGGATCTGGTGCAACGTCAGGATCTCAAGCGAGTTGTAGTTCCCTAGAAAGTTCTGTTGCTGACTCAGAAAAGAGAAGAGTTTCAAAAACCTATAACGTCGATACTCTGAATAGAAGAAATATACTGGCTTCTGCTAAATGTAGAAGCGGTAGAGACGCTAAACTCAAGTCACCGGTGATTGAAACGAAATTCTCACATGAGTCTCCTGACAGATCACCGAGCCCCGTTACTAAGACGCCTGATCGCCTTTCTACGCTCCCGTCTACTGTGAGTGCAATGACGATTAAAGGCGATAACAGGCGACGTAACAAAGTTGTCGTTGACAGTGACTCAGACTCCGAGAGTGAAGTAACCATCCGGCAAAGAAAATCCGATTACAAAAACAGTAGATTAAAACGAAATTCATCGACGAATAATAAAAACAAAACGAATGGTATACCCCCCGACTCAGATAAAAACGAAGAAGTTCCGCAAGTTATTAAAGACAAAATAATTAAAGAAATTAAAAAGGCTGGTTTAGATGATTACGACAAATCAAGCAAAAAAGCCAGCCAAGAACTGACGTACATAAATCTTACAAGTAACATTAGAAAAACGGTAAATGGAGAAAATAATAATATCAAAACACAACCACCAAAAGATATAGACCTTATCATAGGTGTGAAACCCAGATATACACTTAATTCTAACAAAACTGTCTTAAATACAACTCAATCAGCAAAGGATACAATTAAAAATAGCAAATGTGAAAATCGAAATACAGAAACACAATTTGTGAATCTCAAAAAAGGAAACGGTTCTGGAGTCGGTCTTATTCTAGCTGGAGGAATTGATTGTGAAGCAAAGGATGTTACGGTGAGTTGAAAAAAAATCTTTAAAAAAACAATACTTTTAAATTTTCAATGTTGTTGTTAATATACCCATAGTATCACAATCTAACATTGTCTAATATTCTAGGTACATCGCGTATTGAGTGACAGCATTGCAGCCAAGGCAGGCATAAAGAAAGGAACTAAAGTAAGGAGCATTAACGGTTGCATTATGAATGGTCTCACGCACGCGCAGTCTGTAGCAATTTTAAAGGTAACGCACAGGACATTAGATATAATAATACAATTAAATATTTATTTCTAAAATACCTTTTAAATTTATCATAAGCTTTTTTATGCCTATAATAAAATAATTAAAATATTTTACAGGAACAACGTTCTGAAGTCGTTATTGAAGTTGAAAATGAAGTAAAAGGATCATTCAAAGAATGCGGCTCTGAAAACGGTATGATCTTGGAACATTTATCACATGTATAATGTATCGTTGATTGATTATTTTATAATAACTGGCAATATATGCTAAAAATAATTTCATTGCTTTTATCAACAGCGGAGTCGAAGAATCGTCTTGGTGCTGACAAAACTAATCTTAAGAATGAACTTGGAAGATCTGTGGTGACAGTTCTGTTGGAGAAAGCGGGTGGTGGAGCTGGCTTGGGATTCGGGCTTGATGGTGGACGAGATTCCCCTAATGGTGACCGTCCGCTTACTGTGAAAAAGCTCTTCGCTGGTAAGGGGACAATTTATTTAAAGATTTATTCCTCAGTATAAAAGGCGACTCAAAAAGGTCGTAGTCTAAAAGACAATTAGAAAAGGTATTGGACCTGAAAAATATTTTTTTCACGACCAGTACAAATCATAAAGGGTTTGTATTGGACCTGAAAAATATTTTTTTCACGACCAGTACAAATCATAAAGGGTTTGGTTTACTTTGATGTATTACCACCACCAACCACCCTGGACGAAATCATTATATTATAAGCCAAGATTTTTAACGATATTATTATCAATTCATAAGTTTAATTAGGAAACTTAACTAGATTGTTCATTTAGTATATAAATAAAGTTGTGTAATCTGATCGTCGTCAGGTATGATTTGGCCATTGTTCTTTCGACATCTATAATAAAAAAATCTCTTTAAAGGATGTCACATATTGTCTACTATAATTCTAATATTGTAATTTAAAATTACAGGTGGCGCCGCTGCGCAAAGCGGGCAAGTGCTGGTGGGAGCAGAGCTTCTATCAGCAGGTGGACAATCGTTCGAAGGATTTACTCGTACACAAGCGTGGGCAGCTTTAAAAGCTCTGCCCGCAGGTCAAGTGGCTCTAGTATTAAAGAATCCAACTGATACTTGAAGTGTCAACTGTAGATATTTGTAAAAATGTTGACATTCTTAATTTATTGTGTAACAGAAGAGCAATTCTCAAAGGTAATAAATATAATGAAGACCAATAGACTAGACTCCAGATGATAATAAATAAAACAAAATCAACGTTGACTACTGTCACTTCATACGAATCTAATTTAATTGACGATATATCGATGTTAATAATTGAGAATTGCTACTTCAGGTAAATAAATATACATAGTTACATAAATGCATATGTGACGATAATTATAGAAGTATCCTATATATTTTAAAGCACGTTGTGATCGATACCGAAACGAGAAAAAAACGAATCGACCTGATTTATAGACACTATAGATGATGTCATTTTCAAAACAAGGATGTGCCCTAAAGAAAACTATTTTAAACGAGTTGAAACACGAATTGCATTTATCTGTGAAGTTTAATTATGCGTTTTTTCAATCACGGTCGAGTAGGTTAGTACCTAGTCAAAATTTATTAAATAAAATTTCTGTTTAAACTCGTTTAATGTGCAAAGTATCGCCTTTGTTACAGTATAGTATATGCCCAATTGCCTAAATTATAAAATCTGTGCAACCGGAAGACTGTAATTAAATTTTGACTTATTCAAATGTTTATTTATTAAAAATATACTAGTCTTGAGAGTAAATTAGCAATGATAAGTAGATTTAGCTTATAAGTATTAAATAATATTATTAAATGTATTTTGTTTAATGGCGTGCCATTCCCATAAGTTTAATGATTGGATATCACACTAACATGTAACGACGAAATTAAGGTTGCTTTTTTAATCTTTTAACTCTTATTAAAATTTAAATAAACCATTTTTAACGATTTTAATCGCAAAATGTATTAGTAAATTCATTTTTAACAACTCGACGGTTTGTTAAATAGTAGCAATTAAAAAAAACTAATACAATAAAACCGTTAGATACGTTTTATTTAATGTGTTACACTCACGTCAACTACAGACTAAACTCGTTAATGATCAATAATCTTTTGCTCATAATAACGTCAGTAAATATTTCCAATAACATAAAAAATGCCTTTTAGTATAAGTACAGTTTTTAACTATTTTTTTAGTAATTAAAAAAGATCGTTGCTTGCCGTTTCCTAATAAAGACCTAATTAATCAATAGCAGTTACTATTCGCTGTATTAATAATTTATTTCTATTTGCTTGTATATAGTGCCCTAGTTTCTATGTCCAGTTTTCGTATAACGATGTAACACTCGGGGTGTAGTCGCATAATATTTACAGTCCCATACTATTATTTATGGCAACTCTATTTTTATATGATTAAATATTTTTGAATGATTTACTGCTATTTTATTTTCAATAGATGGCGCTACTGATCTATCATATTAAACTAACCTTTACTATGAATTTAACACAGGTTTCCTTTTTCATTGAAAGGATTGACTGCCTCGCTGCCGCAGTAACAGCAATCGTAAACACATTTAGAAACAGTTACCTAATGTATTAACGAACGTATCGAAGTATGTACTCGTATGATTCTAAGACGGGATCTAGAGATCGTCAGATGGGTAAACTAGTCATTAGACCAAACAGCTAATCATTTCCAACCGTTATTTTTATTGGAATTTAGTGACGTCTTATTTCATGTCTTTATTACAAAAATGAGAACGAATTATAGTCAAAAAGGTAGGTTTAAACATTTCATGGAAAAGTTACTTAACAATCTCCCATAGCACCACAAATGTTTGCCGTCAGTGGTGTTCTTCTTTCTCTTATATACACGTAATCCTTAGTCTTAATTTCTAACGTTGCATGCCGGTAGATTAATGAAATAATTTAATTTATAGTGTTTTATAGAGCCATCAAATCTAACACATTTTTATAATGAATATGACTGATTATTCTTAAACTTCTATTGCTAGTAATTTGTGTATAATTTATTTAATGAAACAACCTTATTTTTCCAACGTTACTATATTGTCTTACTTCGTTGCGCTATGTTAAATATCTAATTAATATATTGTTATATAAAAATATCAAGTTAGATGTGCAATTCATATAATAGAAGCTTAATAAATATGTCTATTCCTAGTTATAGCTGTTATATCTAATTCTACTTTACATATATCTTAATTAAATACAATTTGGTCTGCGGACTAATTTAATTTAAATAAGTTATGTCATATATGTTCTAGTTCAATATCTTTTGCACACATTTCGACAGTCAAATATATCACAGGCTTAAATTTAAAATAAAAGATTAATTGTATAACGCTATTGCGGCCATTTGCATTTGCTATTTGGGTTTTCAAGATGGCCGTCCTAATTTTAACATGGTTCACGAAGCTTTGCCATCGCTAGTGACGTCTAGATAGTTCCAGTGTTTACTTAGTCACATTGTTTCACTGAACCCATATCATATGGTATGGTAAATAGGGCCCTGTCCCGCTTATATTATCTATATCCGGACAATATTTTCTGAGCAAAGTTTCTTACCAAACATTTTGCTAACGAGACCTCTAACGTGAATTGTTGGTGAAATTGGCTACAAGTGGACAAAACTTAAGGAAGAGAAAATTGTGAAGAACTTTTTATAACTTAAGTCATTAAATTGTTATTATAAATTTAACAAACTATCAAATTTACTTCACCTTATAAGATCATTTGATGCTCCTTTTTGATCTATGGTAGATCATTCCTTCAGACAATACATTAAATTAACATCTATATATAATCTGTGTTAGTACTGCATATTTACATTGCGAGACCAAAAAATCCCGGCCATCCAAGGTCAAGTATTAGATAGTAGAATAGTCTGGAACGTAATGGGGCGCCTGAAGTGACTCGTCACAACAGGCGCAGGGCAGTCAGCGTGCTGGAGCTCGTCTGGCCACTCGAAGAAGAACCGGACCAGCTCGCACGTCCTTGAACAGTCTTATTGCTTCCCCATGTGTCAGGCCAGCGGTTCCTCGACCATTCACTGATACTATTTCGTCACCTGTAATAATACAATAGTAGAAATTAATATCCATGGTAGACTTATGAAATGAAACTTGACGCTAAAAGAAGTAGGGGGGGTTTTTCCAGTTCTTGATTTGAAATTTGGCATTTCGCGAGAGGCTCATATGGGTGGGAAGAAATCCATAGTATAGTAAATCTATTTTTTTACAGTCAGAATTTGACTTCAATATCAACATAGGAGTACCTAGTTACTCACATAGCAGATTTGTTTTTAATACTAACTTTGATTTGATCTTGGAGGTTAAAGCATTGTTACCATGGCTTAATTAAACAAACAATTGAGTTATTAGTAAGAAGGTGAGTAAATTTATTACATAATTTTTATTATGAATTATTTTTAAATTCGATACAACAATTAATCATAATAAGAATAATGCTACGGACACTAATATGTTGTCATAAGCTATAACATAGTAAATATTGCAATGTAGGTCAAAAAAGCACGTATTTTCTTTCGTAATAAATAAAAACACTATCTAGCAATAAGTAGTCTATGAAAAATTCTTTCACAATAAAAACATAGCTATGTAAACCGTAATTACTTAATATAAAAAATATGACAGAACAGACAAAAATCTTTTGTGTGTCTGTATTTCTCGGTAGTATAATCGATATAACAGCTGAACCTGTCTTTGAAGCAACAAATAAAACGTCTGTCATTGTTTGAATACAACGGTTTAAAACGCGAAATATACTGGTTAAATTATTTCACAATGGCCCGACGTTTCAGATACACTATTTAAACTATAATAACTAGGCCTGTTGTTTGAAATACCGTTCGATAGTCACAGTTTTTTTTAAACATGTACTACGTAAACATCATACGAAAGTCACTCTACCCAGACGAAGTCGCGGCTAGTGCGAAGTAATATACAAAGGGCAGGTGGGCGTGAGTTCAATGAAACATTTTACAGTGAAATGCAGCTGTTATTAACCGTCTCTGTGGAATGCGTTACACAATGGCCTATAATACATGAGTTACGTAAGGAAAATATTATGCCCTTTAAGCATGTTATACTTACGTTAATTATGAGGTTTACGTATACAAACAAGTTCAGGAAGTTCAGGTTTTAAGGTCCGTATATGGTGGCTATTTCTGTCCCCTATGCGGGGGGGGGGGTTCCGGCGATTGTTTTTATTTAAGTGAAATTCCCCTCATGGGGCATGAGGGCAATATATCTCTGCCCGTTGTACAGATCGGTTTCATTTGCAGGCAAGTAGTTGATCATACTTCTGTGTCCAGTCCGAAACAATGTTTCTCCGGTAACCCAGGACCTCTCGCGATAAACGCAATGCGCGATATTTCGACGCTTTACCGTTTTTATTTACGTTTTCTCGGAATTCAAACCTGAGACCAACGCGCTTAGCACAATACGTTTTATTGAGCCACGGTGGCAATATTAATATGTATCTTATAATATCTTTTTTAAGCCAATGACTTGGTCTTTTTCTAGTTATTTATCGGGGTGTATATCTTTGCCTTATATTTATTATTAAAATTAAAGAAATCGATGTGGGTAGTTTTTAAATGTAGACATTAGTATTTTAATATAAGTCGCCTTTCTACTCGTTGGTCTAATGGTAGCAATGTTACCTAATAATCAACGTGGGTTTAAACCCCACCAGGTTCTAACTAATTATAATAATTTTATAACTTTTCCGACACATGTTGGAATTTGTCTGGTTCAGGTAAAGTTTGTCTAAACTATGTAATTAAATAAAAAGTAATAACGAAATACTGTCTATAGTTTACGCGAGTAGTACACCTTTAAATGAAACACTTTAACGGTTTAAAACGCGATATATTAGCTAAACTTATTTGAAAATGCAGCAGCCGAAACGTCGGGCCGAAGTTAAAAATCTTTTTCAAGTTTAACCAAAGTATCGCGTTTTAAACCGTTAAAGTGTTTCATTTAAATAAGTAATAATGAAATCATATAAATAATTGAAAAATACATTTTAATTTCAGAGATATATTCTTATTAAATTAAAATAACGGCTTATGCAACACCACGCGCCATGTTTGGCAGCCAGTTTTTGTCCGAAAGTGACCTTTAGACATTGTTAATGAAAGCACAGATCCTGCTCAAGCAACTGGTTCACTTTCAGAAATCAATACATGATAATATTATAAAGCTGAAGTGTTTGTTTGTTTAAACGCGCTAATCTCTGTGATTCTGAACTACTGGTTCAAATTAAAAATATATTTTTGTTAAAAACGTGTTGTTTATTGTTGTATTTTGTTCAACGATTGCCGGATCACCTAGTATAGACTATAAGCACTATCTGTAGCAGCGACTTCGTCTGCGTAAAATAGTTATTTTGAACATCCAAAGTATTGCAAAACTCCCCTTCAGCTTTATAAATTTAAGCTGTTACGCACGACGACGGTCGCGTTCCGTCGTTCTTGCAAGTTAATCTTAATAGATAGATATACATATATACTTTCGTGGATATTTTTATAGATCAATTAAACCTTCCTCGCTAAATGCTCTATCCAACACAAAGATATATTTTTTTCAATACAATTACAACCAAACTCTCTTCAGCTTTATATATTAGTATAAGCATATGAATAAAGTGAAATTTCTCATTACCTTCCCTCAGTAAACCGGATTCGGCGGCTTGGCCGTTGTTGAAAATTGTTTTTACGAAAATTCCCATATCGCCACGCGGCGAGTCGCGTCCGCCTACGATGCTGAACCCTAGGCCTTTGCCCCCAGCGGACTTCGTGAAGCGCACCTGGAATCATTAAGTGAATCTAAAAAATCTCTCATTATTTCATCAGTAAAAGATAGGTCTACTCGAGCGCTAGTTGAGTTTGAAAGCTTTTTAACATACAGAATAGACAAAAACTAACCTTTAAGTTATTTGGTTCAAAGATATTTCTACTAGTCAAAACTCAAAAGCTATACCAAAAACTGTACCCGGTACACCAAAAAGAGACAATGACAAGAACGAAAAAGTCGTCTAAGCTGATAGAACCAAATATGCGTTCTCATGCTTCTTGTTCCGGTCAAAGGGCTTCAACTTACCTCAAACGAGTGTGTGTCTCTCGGTTCAGGTACTGGAGGCCGTTTACTCGTTTTCTGAGGAGACATAGGTGGCGCTGCTGGTGGTTTAGCGGAACGCGGCGTAGCGCTAACGCGTAACTCTGAAATACCATTTTTCAATTGCTGGACTGGATCTTGTCGCATCTGGACCCGGGGCAATCTGTACGGCTCTTCCCAAAGCCTTTCACAATCACTTCCTAATCTGTTGTATCCATTTTTGTAAATAGGTATATCGACGTTAACATTTTCACTGTACGGTCGACTTCTACCATCTCTGCTCGTCTTCCGTCGTTCCAAGCCGTAGGAGTAATCTACGACATCTCTGCTTTCATCCTCTTGGTTGATAAGGGGTGTGCGATCTTTTGTTGTTGGCTTTGTTCGGTATATGTTGGGTGAGCTACACCGTCGTCGGACTGTGGAGTTTTGTCTCGTCGGAGATGGTGAAGCAGGTTGTCTCACAGCCGTCGGACTGGGCACGTAGAAAGTTGAGGGTTGTTGTTGAGGCGGTGTAAGCACGTCGTGGGCTGAAAGCGCGCGTCTTCGAAGGCCACCTCCAAGTTTCCCAAGAGCTCGGAGTATGTCTGGCGCTCCGCTCGTGACCCGAAGAGACGCAGTAGTATAGACTTTTCCGCGATGCCTGAAGGAAAGTTTAGCTGCTGGCGCGGGCGAGCAGTGCGGAGGAGGGCGAGGTGGTGAAGGGGAACAGCGTACAGGACTAGGTTCTCGAGTTCCTGAACCAGGTCGCAGCCGTGAGCACCTCCTTCGCAGCTTCCGCCATCTTTGAGACAGATTTGCATTCCAGCTCTCTTCTGAAAACAGTAGTATTTATGTTAGAAAAATTTACATTAAAAAGAATTTGGAACATTTTGTATTCTATTAAAATTAAGATCGAGATTCTTTTAAAATTATAACACTATTAATCTTAACCCTATAAATTACATACTCTCTTTTATTTACCCGAAAAAAAAAATTATTTTTTTTTTAAACCTATAAATTACAATAACTTATTTTTTGAATTGGTTAATATACGTATACATCATACAACATTTACACCTTCTAAGCCTAATAAACAAGAAACAATTTTAAACTACGAAATAAATTGTGAATATATTATTAGACACGAGATACAGATTAAGAGATTAGTATTTTATCTTAAAGCACTGAAGTATAGTAGAAATAAATGGTATGAGGAAAATTATCTTTCGAATTGAGAATATAATAAAACATTATTAACAGTAAGAAAACCTATTTAACAATAGGCTCGCTGAACATACCTTTCTTGGTATCCGCGTCAGACGCGTAGTCGTGAGTACGAGGTGCCTGTGCAGGTGGCGTAGATGGGGCTGCGAAGCTGTGTCTCAGTGGGGTCATGCGAAGCAGCCGAGGGCGATCGCCACTGCCTCGCGTTCCCCATGCTGGTGCACCCATAAGAAGAGCTGTCAACAAAGAGAAATTATTTTGAGTATTAGGGAACCGTTGCGACCTCAATTATAAGTTAAATCCCCACGTGGGGCATGGGGTGTATATTCTTGTACAGAATACATCCGTTTTACTGCTCGATTTTTTTGCCCTATCCGACCCAAACAATTACTGATCTCCGGATTCTAACCAATGAACATTCGTGACGCGTAGATTAAGTCAAGTGAGAAGAGGTGTGACTTCGAATCCCCGGTTGGATAGGTGGTACCGCCCTCAGAAAGCGAAAATAGATATTTGAAAGACGAATTAATAAAATTAATATAAATCTGTCTGTGTTGTTGTGTTGTATGCCCACAAAGCGATCTTTAAAAAGCCAGGAAAGTAATAGACTTTCTTAATATTGGTCTATTTATAAGCTTGAATAAATTACGATAAATAATGAATTATCAAAAAGATATAAATAACTGTGACACAACTCTATTAAAGGGCATTACACCGAGAACAAAGTATCATTATTTTAAGCAATGCCCGCGTTTTAATGGTTTAATTATTAATAGACAGAGAAGCCACGCATCGCTAAATATAGGAACCGTTTGAGTTTATAAGAAACATTTATAATTAAACATGACCATACGTTTCTTAGACACGCAAACGACTTTATGCTTTGTTTATTTAAACTCTTCATGATTATTATAAAATACCAATACACCTACACTAGGTAGATATCTAAACACGACGCGCTCTCGACGTATTTTTGCCTTTTGACACCCAAATTCATTTGACATTGTTGACCTGTGGACCTGGAGGATATTTGGATGTTCCTACCTCCCATTTAGTATCGAGATATCACAAACGAAGTTTAAGAAATTTCAGATAAATTATAAATTGATTTTAGAAATGTGTGTATATACGATAAGAATGTACCTAACCCAGGACTCATTGATTATAAGCAATCTACCATTAGACCAACAACTATAAACTTTTTATTTAACAATAAACTTTTGAGGGGATCCGTCAAAAGTTTATTTTACTGCGATCTATGCTGTCAAATATTTTTTACCGGACAGTACTAGGAAGTGAAAGCGATCAAAGTTGCATCTTCTATTCAATAGCATAGAATTCCATTTGGACTGCACTGATAACGATGTCAATGCATAAAAACTGACCACTCTGACACCTACGCGGCGTGGGTTTAGGTCGCGTAAATATATACGTCCGGTACCACTGTCTTGTACGATCTAGCCAGCCTTATTCGGATTGACCTAAAAATAACAGTTAAGCTCTAAATAGCTTTATACTTATATGAGCTTCAAGTAATAAATCTGTAATCAGAAATGGAAACAGTTCGTCTTTAAATTTAATAAAATGTTTAATAACTAATTTAATTAACTTTTCACTAGCATAAGATCCCAGGGTTAAAAGGTTTCATTTAAACAACAAAAAATTTCATTTTAACTAACATTAAACAGACACATGACATTAAAATATGAAAAACAAAACAATATTATCCTCCTGTGACTGTAAATAAATATATGAACAAGTACCGTTACATATACTTAGAGGTCAGGTACAATTTGTTTTATAATTCGTTTACAAACAAATTTACCATTATTTACCTCGTTCTACTTAACTTAAAACTTCTAGGCAGATGAAGTCCCGAGCTAAGTTAATGTTGAAGCGATTATTAAAAACGCTACTTTTAAAAAAGTACGTGCGTGTAGTAATTAGCTTGGAATTAAAGTTGTAAATAAACTCATATATTCTATTCATATACAAAAAGTGTACAACAATTACTGCGTTATTAAATACTGTCTATAGTTTACGCGAGTATTACACATTTAAATAAAACACTTTAACGCTTACTTAACTAATATATCGCGTTTTAAACCGTTTAAAGTGTTTTATTTAAATACTGCGTTATTGTCAACAAAATAAAATAATAAACAAAATTCACAACAAAATAAAAAAATTAGGCAGTGTACTGTCTGACAACTGATATTAAAAGTTATACCTTCCTTTCCATATCTTGGTCACGCTTATATATATATATAGCTATCTAGTTCCGCTCAAAATATTTCTCCCAAAATATATTTATTAAATTGCTTTGATGCTATCAATAGTAAATGTACGAGATACGTTTTTAATATCGCTTTAAGGTGCATAAGTGCATAAGTTAAGTGCACGAACCCGATGTGCAGCCGAATGTGCCGAAGCGGCACGGATATCCGGTCGCCTCGGTCCGCCTCTCATACGAATATGAAGTACTCTTCTAAGGATATTTTTATATTATATGACTGGCGTTTGTCCTCGCCTGCCCTCACTGCATCATAGATAATGAGCACCTCTATGCTTTGACGGTCGTTGTTTGAACAGTTAGAAGAGCGGCGAGTTTATTTTCCTTAATAACTAAAGTAGATAGTTAAAATATTTTTCAAAACAATTGTTTATTATATCTCTCAATTAATGTTCACTTTACAATTGGGCATTAAATAATCGATACTCATCAAGTGTCTATTTGTTTGTTTAAACGCGCTAATCTCAGGAATTACTGGTTCGAGTTGAAATTATTTTTGTGTTGGAGAAACCATAATAATTGCAAAAATAAATTAAGATATGTTCAAGTAGAGTATTTGTTACACGGTTTTTAGTATTACTTTACATAAATCCTGGAAAGAAAAGTTGTACGTGTACACTTGACTTTGAATAGCATTGTTTTATGACGAATTTCACACGGTCTCACCAATCTCATACACTGTTATTAGTCGTATTTAAATTTGCATTCGCAATCAATACCCAACGCATTTCTTTTTGGTTTTTGTTCCCCTTGTAATATTAAAAGCACTGGGTAATATGTACATTTTGAGTTTTTACGCAGTACGTAAATTATTTTAGGAAATAAGGTTTTTTCTTCATTTTATTCCTTAATTTTGGTGCCCTAAGTCTATTATAAATTTACCTCTTTATTAAATATGCAAATTTCTTGGGGTGAGGTGAGAAGATTAGAAACAAAAACTTTAAATTAAAAGTTGGATAATTAATACAAAGCTAAGTTAAAAAGCTAAATTAAAAAAAAGTGAAGATTCATAATTTAAAAACTGGGTATTTCCGTTTACTTACAAAACCGTACCATAAATATCATTGAGTTGTTCTGTAAGTAGATGAGTTATTAATCCCCGGAGAGTAAAGACTGATTAATTAAATTCCTGTCGACGTAGACCCATGTATTTGGGGTGATCTTTTGTGCTGATAGCCAGCCCCCGGGGTCGAATAACAACGGGGAAAGGACGATAAATTGCACATACGGAAAAGGCTAACACAACGGAGTAATTACACAAATAGTATTATAATTTGGGCAAGTATTTTTACTAAAGAATAGAGAATCTACAAGTTAACGCAAATTCGGAATGAACTGAATAATTCAGTTATTCAATAAAAACTATAAAAAAAAATTTGGTTTTCTTTTTTTAATTTATGTTTTGTTAATTGTTTTAATAATGTGATGTAATATTTTTCTACTAGTTCTTCAAGCGTCAAACGTGGGGCAGGCATCACTGCAAATCGGCGTTGTGCCTTCTTCCAGGTACATCTTATACCCCATAGCTGAATCAAAAAATATATATTTAAAAAATGTGTCTGTGTGAGTAACTCGAATGAGTTTTTGTTCGCGCCTTTTTATGTTACAAGTTACGTATATGTAAAATTTTGAATAAATAAATTAATGTATAAGAAGGTTACCAAAATAGGAACAAAGTAATAAGACAACAGAAAATATTTTTTATACTATACTTCTGTAAATTAATTTTCTAAAAATGTCCAAAATAGTTAATGTATATAGAAATAATAATAAGACTACAGATTACTAGTTACGTTATGGACAACGCTGATCACTGAAGATAATGAAGTGATGCATATTTTCGGATACAAACTGAATGAGAGTTTGTCCAGTTAGGCGAGGTGGGAAAGTGGAGTTAATTCGCTGCGTCCCGTTGTGTGCCGAATTCGGATGGCACTGGTCACTGCTCTTCCGGCACAATGTCTATGCAACACTAATAGACTTGCGAAATAGAGGGGCCGGTTATTAGCAATTTCTACACAAACTATGATTTTTACTTTTCAATAAAAATTTACTCGCACCTTCTAATTGTACATTTACACGTCAAACAATGATAATAAAACTACTGTAAATGTGTTAAGGGCGAGAGGATCTGGTTTTTAATACTAGACATTTTTTTAATTTATTTCAGTCGACCTGTACATAAAACCGATGAATACATAGAGATGAATGCCCCATGCTCTACGTTGTAAAACCGTCTTAAAAGGACTTTTCTATCTATAATTATATACCTACATAAATTAAGAGTGACATACGCGAAAGCTTATTCGTGTCTCGATGTATTTTATTTTAATTTAAGTGTAAAAGAACTCTACTGATTGTCCTTTTTGGTTAATTATTATTATTAGTAAGAAATAGGACCACTAGAATTGAAATCATTGGAATCCACCGATCGGTTCTGACATAACAAAAATATTAAATAGGATTAAATTAAATAGAATCTGCGATATTACTAACTTAGTATGAAATAATTTTCTTGTCGAGATAAATCTTGCTCAAGAACGGGGCCAGCTCAACAAAAGACGGGTCAAGATGTATGTCAATAACTGACCGACAATGTGATAAAAACTATACAATATATTGTATATGTATTTTTAAGTCAAACAAGTTTCACTCCCACATTGAATGATTTCATCATTAAATTCCCACATACGACATTTCTAGCTTAATTAAAACATATAATATAATCTTAATAACAGTACTTTTACCAAGTTCGCCCAACTGACAGGTCGTGAATTCGATTCCCAATGAGTCCTAATATATTTTAAGGAAACTTTTTTGAAACATGTTAGATTCCGCCGGGACACAAGGACCTTAAATGAGAAGTAGGAATGTGGAAACTCTATCTGAATAGATGGAAAAGAAAAGCCAAACGAAATGTGTCAACATTTCAGTT